TGGGCCCCGGGGGTGTTCTGCGGCAGCCAGCGCATTAATGTACCCCCGTCCCCACTGCACCTGCACGCTCACACAGCTCTATACACACCTATAGCACGCTATAAGCACGTATGCAAATGCCCGTGCGTGCCTATGCAACACATTTGCATACACTTACATGTATAGTCATACACCCCCACGTGCACGAAAGGCTACGCATATGCACATGTGTGCTTATATATGTGCAAGCATCTATAGGCGCTCCCCTATAGCCGTGCATAAACTGGGACGCAGAGGGGACATGGAAGCAGGACGCAGGGGGTGTCACACGCTGCGGGGCCTGGCGCGGGGTGACACGGCCGGGGGGGCTGCTGTGTGACTCATGGGCAGCTGCACGGGCGCTGCTGCACGCGGCCACGCTGGCAGCCACGAGCGCCTGCGCGGGGAAAGGCGTACGTGCAAACACGCACACACACGGACTTTCTATGATGGAGTGACAGCATCAGTGGACAAGGGACAACCAACAGACGTCATCTATCTGGACTTCTGCAAGGCCTTTGACACGGTCCCCCACAACATCCTTCTCTCTAAATTGGAAAGCTATGGATTTGATGGGTGGACTGTTCGGTGGATAAGGAACTGGCTGGATGGTCGTGTCCAGAGGGTAGTGGTCAACGGCACAATGTCCGGATGGAGACCGGTGACAAGTGGTGTCCCTCAGGGGTCCGTACTAGGACCGGTGCTGTTCAACATCTTCATCAATGACTTGGACAGTGAGATAGAGTGCACCCTCAGCAAGTTTGCAGATGACACCAAGCTGAGTGGTGCGGTTGACACACCAGAAGGCCGGGATGTCATCCAGAGGGACCTGGACAGGCTGGAGAGGTGGGCCTGTTCGATGACCTCTAGTGGTCCCTTCCAACCCAAAACATTCTATGATTCTATGATTCTATGATTCTATGTGCACGCATTGCTGCATGGGCATGCACACGTGCACATGCAAACCCACCTCTGTGCATACACATGTGCACATGCATGTACATGCACGTGTGTGCAGTTACACATGCAGGCAAGCACACACCTGGAGCTCTAAAAGGGTGTATACACGTGCACATACCTGTGCTTGTTCACGCCCTGCTGCCCACGCACACACACATACATGGAGGAACATGTGCAAAAATGCACATGTAAACCCACCTGTGTGTGTGTAAACACATGCACCAATGTACACACACGTATGCAGGCATGCACACACGCAAACACACCCAGACTTGCATGAGTAGGACTGTGTATGCAAACACGCATGGAGTGCTGAGCGTGCACACATGCGCAGATGTGCATGACCCCTGCTCACACACTGCTGCACGTGCAAACATATGCAGGGATGAACACGTGTGTGTGTGCCTGCAAAGCCACCTCTGCATGCATGCTCCTGTGCACGTGTACGCACACATACACAGTCATGCATGCACGCAGACACACCCACACCTGCCCGTGGAGCTCTGTAAGCGTGCACACATGCACAGATGTGCACACAACACCCATTCACACACGGCTGTGTATGCAAACGTACATGCAAACGTGCATAAATGCACGTGCAAACCCACCTCTGCACGCATACATGTGTACACATATGTACATGCGCACACATGCATACGCAGTCCTACATGCATGCAAACACGCATGGAGTGTGCACACACGTGCAGATGTGCACGACCCCTGATCACACACAGCTGCACATGCAAACATACGCAGGGATGAACACATGCGTTTGCGCCTGCAAAGCCACCTCTGCATGCATGTCCTCATGCATGTGTACGCATACATACGCACGCACCCAGACACACCCACACTTGCCCATGGAGCTCCATAAGCATGCACAGACATGAACGCATCACCCATTCACTGCTGTGCGTGCAAACGTACGTGCAAACGTGTGCATAAATGCCTGTGCAAGCTCACCTCTGCACACACACATCCATGCATGCACGCGCACACATGCAGTCACGCACGCATGCAGACACGCCCACACTTGCCCATGGAGCTCCATAAGCGTGCACACACGCCACAGACTTGCACGCGACACCCA